TTAGTTAGTTGGGAGGAAGGATCTGAAAATGAAGTGGGTAGATTATCTATATCTGATGCCAATTCAACAGACTTGATAGATAGTCAAATCCTCAACATTGCTCTCTATAAAAGTGGTGGTGTTTTGGTTCAATCCAAAAGTTTTATGAAGTGGAAAAACACAGACTATAGTGAACTCAAGTCTGCAGTTGATTCCTTGTGTAAACAAACAGATACACAAACCACATCTAGCCACATGCAGCATGACCTTCAAGTCTGCCCTAATAAACAAACAGCAAACAACTCTCCACCAACACAAGTTACAGTACCAGTACAGGAAGATGACTCTTTGATGTCTGCAGTGGAAAACTCACCCTCATTAAAGAAAGCCCCTTCTATTACTACAATTATGGCAGAACATTACAAATTCTCAGAGGAAACTTTGTTATGTGTGAAGACAAAAGTTACAGCATTGGAAAATTCAATTCATGATTTAGATGATAAATACTCTCAGCTTGTGGAAGATATTGACACACTTAAAGGTACCAATGATGATGTGAGTAAGCTGAACAGTAAGCTGGACAGTTCTATCAACAAATTTGACCGTGCAATTAATCGGTTAATTTCCACTAATGATGAGAAAATTGGTTTATTAAATTCAAAAATTAATCTGATGCTTCAACAACAAGACGAAAAGGAGAGGACTTTCAAAGACCAACTTTCTGAGATGTCATGTGTCATAAATAAATTACAACATGAAAATAAAAATCTTCAAATAAATTATGACACAACAGAAGCTGAATTCATTGTGGTGAAAGAAGAAATACAACAACTTCATGATAGAAATAAAGATCTGCAAGCAAAGTATGATATGTTAACTGCTGAAATGTTAGTAGGTAAAGAGGACCTTAAAGTCGGCAGTCCTGATGATTTTAAAGTTGCAACACACACTTTCAGGAAACCCAAGTCTATTAATACCATTCCGTCAGTACTCCTAGAAAATAAGTATGATCTGCTGAATGATGTGATGATTGACGAGGATAAGAAATGTGATGATGTGAAGATTGTGGATGGTAGAAACGTGGACGAAACAAAAAATAAACAGTCTACACAAAACAACGAATCAGCAGATGTTGTACTAATTGGTAATTCACTAATTAGAGACATCATACCAGAAAGGTTGCACCCGAATAGGAAAGTCACCAAACATCGTGCAACCTATGTCAGTGATGCATCCAAAGTTATTGACAAGACAAAATCGAACAATACTTCTTATGTAATCATACATGAAGGTAGCAATGATGTCGTTAATAATGATGTAGATGATGTGGTTAAAGACATGAAGTCCTTAATCACAAAAGCTAAACAGGCACATCCAAAAGCAAGTCTTATCATTTCATCTATTCTACCACGAGGTAATGATCACTCCATCAACGAGAGAATTCATACGATAAACTCACAAATTGAGTCACATTGTGATAATGAAGACAAGGTTGAATTTTTTTACCACCATAAGTTATCAAATGCCCGTAATTTGTATTGTAGAGATGGTATTCACTTAAATGAAGGTGGAGCAAGTGTCTTAGCAGCAAACTACATCGGTAAGATGAAAAAAGGCCCAACTGTTATTAATAATGGGCAAAGAAAAACCAACTACAAATATCACAGCAACCATAACTCCAATGATGACTACCAACGTAATAAACATCATTCCAATTTCAAGAAAACCTTTCAAAAACACAAGAAACAAAGGCAAGCTAATGACAATGGGTCTTATGAAGAATACAATGTCAACTTCAGAAATAACGCCACCCTTCCTGACTATCAATATACACCAAACCAAGGAATGTGGCAAGGTAACAATTACAACAAAAGATCCTGGAATGATGCAAACTACTGGCAGCAGACACAACCACAACAAATGCAGTATAATCAGCAGTATTATAATGACCAGTCACCACCTTGGCAAGGAAATCACCGTTACAAGAACACATGGCGACAATTTTGACACTTTAAATGCAGAGAAGACTGAAAGTCGCATCCTGGAACATTCATGGTATTGGGGGTAAACAACAAGATAGTTTACTTTTAAATTTTATCAAAAACCATGATTGTGTAGGATTTGTAGAATCTTGGTTAGATAGTGAGTGTAGATTAGATTTTCCTGGTTTTAATTTTTTTCGTAGTGATAGAGTTAGACGTAGAATTAGAGGTAGAAATTCAGGGGGGATTATGGTTATTTTTAAAACTGCAATCCAAAAGGGTCTCAGTAAAATCAATAGCAATCATAAAGATCTTTTGTGGATTAAAATGAGCAAGGAATTTTTTGGTTTTAAAAACGATTTATACACATGTTTTTGCTACTTGTCTCCAGAGGGGTCAAGCTTTTATAATTCATCATTGTACTCAGGTTTAGACACTTTTGATCATTTAGAAAATGATATTGCCAAATTTAATGAATTGGGAGATGTCCTAATCATGGGTGACATGAATGCTAGAAGTGCTCAACTGTCAGACTTCATTATTAATGATGACAATGACCACTTACCATTACCAGATTATTTTAATATTGATGAACATTATTACAGAAACAATATGGATTCATTTGTCAACAAATATGGTAAAGCTTTGGTTAAACTTTGTTGTGCTAGTAACTGTAGGATTTTGAATGGTAGAGTTCCAGGTGACTCCTTGGGAAAATGTACGAGTCACCAATATGGGGGTAGCAGT